ATATATGCATGATATGCCCTCAACGTATAGATATTTAGGGGTAAAAAGAGCAAGGATTTGACAATAATTCAGTGATAAAAGTTATGATTTTTAAGGAATTATTGATAATCCACCTTCAGGCATGTTCTCACTTTGGTTCTATGTTTTTGTAGGAGGAGAGCATGAAAAAGCCACTATTGCAAACAACCACCTCACGCAAACAACGTGAGAATGCGCGGATCGCGTCATGTTCACGGCCTTTCTACGTGAATCGCGCCACATTGGCGCTGATCGCGCCAAGAATGGGGAAGAAGGGGCCAACACCACTGTCTCTTCACGTAAATAGCGTGGCATCCACGCTAATCGCGCCAAGTGCAGAGATTTTCCACTGCCTGCCCGTGCGAATCGCGTGGCCTTGGTGCTGATTGCGCGGGCGTCGCGAGTGCAACCCTGATTTTGTGGATTTTTGATAAAGATGGAAATTAAATCAAATATCTCCGCAGATTATGACCTAAGGGGAACAATAGATATAAAAAGGAGATAGAAAACCCTAAAAGAGAGGCATCTTTGGAAGGAGAAAAATTAAAAAGACACAATTTGAGAGAAAGTTCTCGAACTGAAGGCTGAAGATCAACACTCAGAGGCGTTGAAGATTCAAGATTTCTTCTTCTTCTTCTTTCTTTGGTTTTATTCTTTCATGAATTCTTTTCCATTCTTTGATTTGTCAGACATTAATATGTCTGGCTAGTCTTTTATTATTGTGGTAAGGGTCACAACCCTTGATGTGAATCCCTTGTAGTTTGGTTAAATTTATGTTTATTTATTTAAATTAAATTTATCTTGCCTTGTTCCTCATCTCATAATTCTTCTAGAACCGATCAATTTATTAGGATTGTGAGGGTTAGGGTTTTCAATAGGGATATTGGGATTCTATTTCCTGACAAAAGGTAAGATAATTGTTCATGTATGCACTAGGGATATGCTACATGAATTGCAAACGTTAAAGATTCATTGATTCTAAGGCTTAACTTGAAAAGAGATTTCTAAGGGATTAGGATTCTAATAGAGTTAATAAAGTTAAAGTCATCAAGGAATTATGGCTTAACCAATCAAATAAAAGATAGTAGATCGTTTGATTAATTGAATAATTAAATGTGAGTGTTAATCTAAGTTACAAGGTGGGGATCATAAAGGTGCTTATTCTCTTTACCGCAATATTCTCTCAAACATTTTCTCAACCATTAATCTTTTGTTCTTAAGTTTAAAAAGAATCTTGGAAATTAACTTTACTTCTTGATTTGTTCTTGTTTATTACAAATCACAATTGTTCTTTAAACCAATTTTATTAATCCGACAAGAAATGAATAGTTATAATAAACTCGGTGCTTCAATCCTCGTGGAGACGACACTCTACTTATCATTTTATTATTTGAAACGAACAGTACACTTGTCGATTTCGCAACAATGCACGTCACGCAAAATATACATGGTCGGAAATATCATATCAACATTCGAAAATATACACCTTAGTTGGAGGTTTTGCACGCCTATTATGTATTTTACATACTATAGCCGTCTGATAGGCTCAATCCAACATGCACCTTGCACCATAAAAAGGAGGCTACGACCTTGCTTGATTTCTATATATAAACACTAGGTAAAAGTGTGTGTCATTTTAAAGGATATAAAGTTGTGTCATTTATGTTATCAAAAAAAAAAAAATTTGTGTCATTTTAAGAGAGAGAAAGAGATAGATAAATGAGGAGAGAGAGTTGACAAAAAAAATAAAGATGTGGGTCTCACCTCGTTGTGAGAGTGAAAGGATATAAGTTGTGTCATTTAAAATGATAAATATTTTTCCCATAAATACTATTTTCAAAAACTAAAATACATAACAAATTTTTGTGTTGTTTATTTTGTAAAGAATCTATTCCACCTAAAAATTTAAATTATTAAGTGAAGATCATTAATATTTTTTATATTTTATATTATATTTGTTTGTTTTCTTTAAAAACTTGTTTGTTACAATTTATTTTAAGAATTAAAATACAAGAAGCTAATTTTAGTTATTTTTTGTTTTGTTTTCTTATTTTTATAGATTATATTTTCTTAAATTACTAACGTCACTGCCACGGAAACGTACTCAAACTTTGAAAACATATTCTCAAAATAATCATAAGAAATAACTATAAAAAGATTTTCAAAAGCCAAAAAACATCAACAAAATCAAACAGGTGTAAACATCTCTCAAATTTTTATCCCTCCATGTTGGATAAATTTTTTCAACAACGCCGCGAAAGAACGTCGTCCAAATGATGCTAATATGCATAGAAGATTAGATGACTTGTGGGGTGAGAAGTACAATGTTTTGCAAGATTATTTAGCGTAATAGTCGTTTACTCATTGTCTTGTTGAAATGTTGGAAACATAGATCAATTAGATATCCGAGGAATCGTTCAATTTTCCTAGGATTTTGGAATTTCGTGCATGGTTCCTTTTGTTCACCACATTATAAAAGTGTTTTCGGTAATTAAATAACATTTTACATGTTGTCGCTGTATACGTTGTCCTCTTGATTTTCTCAATTGTCAACGGGCGTCACTTTTTGAGTTGCCTTGTTGATAAGAAAATGAAAGTTCAGAAAAGGTGCATATAAAATCAAATAGCTCTAGAACTCGTATATCGACTCAAATAACTATGTTTTAGCATGTTAGCTTTGTGAACGTATTCTTTCAACTATGTTATTAATACGGGGAATAATTTATTTACAAATTTTTTTTACAAATTACACTAAACATGATCGGTTATATATTCTTGATTGAAGTATAATCGGTTATACTTAGTGTAGTTTGTAAATAAAAAGTTTGTAAATATAACATTACTCTGTTAATATATATATTCAATATGTTTGTGTTCTCATAATACTCAAAGAGGTTTCTATAATAGTTGATTTTCCATAATAGGGTTGGCAAAACGGGTCAACCCGGCTCGACTCGGCCCAACCCGTATTCAACCTGTAAAAAACGGGTCGGGTTAGGGTTGGCCCGAAAAAATAAACGAGCCAGAAAACCCAACCCAGCCCGACCCGAGCCGGGTTAGGGTTGACTCGCGGGTTGGCTCGATAATCAGCTTGCGGGTTGGCTCGGAATAAAGCTCGAGGGTTGGCTCAAAAAAAGCTCGCGGGTTAGCTTGAAATGATGCCTGTGGGTTGGCTCGCGGGTTGGCTCAAAAAAATTAATTTTTGTGGAACTAGTCTTATTTGTTCTCCAACACTGCTAAAATTATCAACACTGCCAAAAGGTTCCAACTTTGATCTCTTCAAAGGTACCAAGATTGGAAAAAGAAAAAAGATTGAAGTAACAAATCTTATAATGTCAACAACATAGAAGAAGAACAATGAATCTATTTTCATATATATATTGGGGGAAAATAAAAAAGAAATATGAGAAATATAGAGAAAAGGGCATTGCACCGTTGGAGTAGTGAATTGCGTTTGTTAAGAGAATAGGCCAATAGACCCGAAGATGCAAGGTTAATGGTAACAGGGTGAACAAGCTATCCAAGGGGGCAGAAGAATCTTAGGGTTAAGGAAAGTGACGAGTGACAACGATGTGAGCGTATGGCAATTTTGGAGTTTTCATATTATTATTATTATTATTATTTTAATACAATCATATTTTTTTTTAATTAAAAAAAAATACCCAACCCGCGAGCTGACCCGTTTGACCCGCGGGCTGGCTCATTTGGGTTTGGGTTGTATCGGGTCGGGTTGAGTCGAGTTGGCAGCTCATTTAGGCCAACCCAACCCGACTCATTTAGGACGGGTTGCGAGCCAACCTGACCGGTTGGCTCGTTTTTGCCATCCCTACTCCATAATACTCAAAGAGGCTTCCGTATGAGGGGGAAAAACACTGATGTTGAGTCTCATACTTAAGGAAATTTTTTTTGAAAATTTAAGAAAAATATTAAGTAATTAAGTCTTACATTGGTTAAGATTAGATTAAAGAAGATAATATATAAGTGAAAGGAAATTCAAATGTGAGTGATGAGTAATTAAGTTCTCAAGATTTAAGACTAGACTATGTAAAAAAAAAACATAAAAGTAAAATAATCTATAAATGCAATGCTTTAAAATTTTGGGTTAAGATATTTCATTGACTTCATTTCTTATATGTTTGGGTTCCCATTATACTCAGACTTTGAGTGTGAGGCAAGAACACTAATTAATTTCCTGATGGTTTAAGATTCGACTATGTAAAAACTTAGTAAAAGAATTCATAATGCTTTTAAGATTTTGGATTAAGGTATTTGGATGTGTAAGATATAGTTGGGCTCCCCGTATCTATGCACGTATACATAAAATTAAAAGAAGCTATACATCTAAATTATGAGTAAGGATATTCTAACTACCAAAAACTCTCACTACTAACTTACTGCCTATCACATCACCATTGGATCAAAGAAAGATAATGTTAAAAAGTTTTTGAAAAGAGAGAAAATGTTAATCTAATAGTGATTAGATAAGTAGTAAGATGGTAGTGAAAAATTTTAGTAGTTAGAATATCCCTCTCCCTAAATTATACATAATATAATCAGAGGTACATGTAAGTTAAACAATATATAATACTTGCGAGTCCTATTTACTGATATGTTGTACAATGACAAATACAAATTTATCCAGAAAGTACAAGAAAAAATTTGCAGGGAGTATTATTTAGTTTGTTGAAATAGAATCAAAGAAAAGTGGGAATTTACATGTCAAGTCCCGGCCCATATGCACACCAAACAAGAAGTTATCTGTTTATTTCATCTGCTCAATCCTGAACAGCCATAACATGGAATTACTGGAAAAGATTTATTCTCACCCCAAATTTTCAGTGCTTTCAAATCACTGATTTGGGTCCTAATTTACATTATTTGTATGAATACAGATTATTTAAGCACACCACAGGTTCTTATGAGAAACTGTTATTTATTGGCATTGACTCCAAACAGCAAACTGCAGGGCATTAAAAAAGCATTTAGCATTTCCAGCAAGAAGCTGCCACAATTGGCTTTGATTTCCAACCAAGCACCAAGCACCCTTTCTCTTCAACAACTGTATAACCATCACAAACCTTGTTCTTGAGAAGCCATTGCTTAGCCTGAGCCACCATCTTAATAGGTGCAGCTTGAAAACCAGCCCTGCTCATCCTCCTGCGCCATTGATCCACTCTCTCATGCCTCTCCATCCTCAATGGTCCCTCACAGCTCACAATGTTCTTTATCTCCTCAGCAAAGAAAAACTGCTCCATTTTGGCCCTCTTAGTGTCATACTTTGGCAACATAGCATCCAATGAGTCAAAAATAGCAGAGTAATAGTGCAATGATTCCATAAACCTCCCAAGAAAAAAGGGTCCATTGTGACTTGAATCTTGCTCAACCATGACCAGGACTTTTGGGGAAAGCCCATGAATCATCTGAAGCACTGAATTTAAAGCACCACGGCTTTCTTTAACCACACAATGCAGCTGAAGAATGCTATTAACCACAAGAACCTCTTCATCATGCACTTTTATGTCATCAGGTTGCAAATTTTCCAAATTCTTCTGCACCACTGAGAACTCCAAATTAATACCCAAATTATTTGCATAAACTGAGAGTTCATCACCAATGACCTGGAGTCTAGCAATGCAAAGGCCGACAGCCGTGATTCGAAGGCGGCGAAGAACACGGTGGCCGGCACGGTCAGCAAGGCTTTGGATTAGTCCCCGCCACTGGTGGCCATGAGGAAGACCAAGGGTCATGCCAAGGTCAACCACATGAACAAAACTCTCACCCTCAAAGGCTTCCAACATTGTGGAGTTAGCCACAAAATGTCCAAACTGAATATGTGGACAGATTTCATAAACCAACCTGAAAGCTTCTTCCATTTTTTCTGATGCAGCATCCATAATGTTCATCATTGATTGCATAACTCCCACAGGCCCAACTGGTTGAACCAGAGTAAGCCTATCAGCTAGACCTTGCACAAAACAAGATGCTACTCTCTGAAATGAGGACCCAAATACCAAAGCATTGGCTTTAAGTTCTGATAATAATATTGAAGCATGTGATTTGTCACGACATGCCACGGCTTCAGCACAAGCAATTAGAAGCTGAACAAGCCTCATTCCATCAGCACATTCATCTTCTTCAGCTCTAACACCCTCATAATTGATCATATCTTCTGCTGCATCTTCAACAGCTTCAGCAGCAAGGTATCTTTGTGTATAAGTCCTTATGTGATCTCTGAATTGGAGCTTTGGTATGTTATTCACACTGCCGCCGCCACTGTTGATATTGATACTATTGAGGAAACTATAGCAACATTCACTACCTCCATTGCTGCTAAAATTTCCAATGTAAACGGGGATGCTTAAGGTTCTCTTCCTCTTGTTATCCCTGATCATGGTTTCATCAGAAAATGGAAGGATCCAAGTAGAAGCACTACTCTCCAAGATAGGTAAATGGGGATAAGCATAACAATTCATTGTGGAGAGATCAAGATCAATCACAGGACTTTCATCATCGAGTTCACCCTTTAAGGCACTATAAAGAGGAGGAGGGGACATCTCTCAAATCTCTCTGCTACCCTTTGCTTCTCTTCTCCTTTCTAAAGATTTTCAACAACGCTCTGAAAGAATGATCCTCCAAATGATGCCAATTTATAAAATTTTGTTTCATCGTAGGGCGAGAAATACAATTATTTTGCATTAGATACAAAGAGATTATTGTGAAACTTGTCTTGTTGAAGTGGAGCACGGCTAACATAGATCAATTAGATACACCTTGAAGTTATCGTTTTTTTCCCGGTATTTTGAAATTTCATGTAACGTTGGTTACACTAATTGGTCGCTGCAACGTAATATATTCGGTAATTAAGTTATATTAGTAATTTTTTTGTAGCTTTCTACGTTGTCCCGTTGCTGAATGCATTTTTGGGAGGGGGCTGAACCTTTAGCCATCACTGTTCTCTCGCACTCCGAATTAGTCTCATATCTAACCCCACTAACTCAGCGCCAAGTTACCAACTGAGCTGCACCCATTAGGTATATTGTTTGCGGTATTTATGGTTTAAACTTAGGGAGACGTATTTTTTAGTTACTTGGAAATAAAGTTATCTTCAGTGAGATTAAAACGACGTTATTTTGGAGTTATAAGATTAAAAAATTATAATGATAATGACTAAAATAATTCTGCAATATATTATAATTACAAAAATACCTTGATTTCCGTCTCAAAATGACGTTGTTTTGGCTCACTGGAGATAATATCTCCGTTGACAGGAGAAATCTTTTACCCTTGAAGTTATATTATAATTATTGTAGCATAAATTTTAATTAACCTAATGTGTAGAAAAAATTTCTATCTAGCGGCGTTTTCTAATCCCCTCCTTGCACAATCTGCAATATACTGTGGATTAACTTAACAAGATCCTTAACACTTACCAGCAACGGAAAAAATCTCTTATTCTAAATGTAGAATGTTACGTGCTTCTCTTTCTTAACACTTGTTTAATAAAATATTTCGTTTGGGAAGAAAATCAATTTGAAAGAAAGAAAAGTTTTTTTATGAAATTATATTTGAAAAGGAGATATTTTTTTTATGTCTATTTTTTTTTTATATATAACATCGTTAGATTATAATCTCAAATATCAATATGAGAGGGAGAAAAAGTGAAAATTAATTAAGAGTGTGATTCAACACAGTAAGTAATATCCCAATTAAAAATAGCCTTCTTTGCTTTCTTAAATCATAACTTGATAACTCTGTTTGGTGCCCCTATCAGGTAACTGATTCCTAAACTATTGGCTTGATCTGACTTACCTGGAAACACTATCCTAACATCCTTATCAACAACTTGAATTTCAACTCAGATACTGATGTTCACAATTTGAAAAACATCATAACTTTTGCAAATTTCCGCTGTTCCTACTCATTATCTAAGGTTATCTGTTATTTAACATCGCCACGGAATTATTACCGTATAAAAGTGAATCAACGACGATAATTTTGTAATTGCCTAACTCAATATTTTTCTCTTTATTCTTTTATCACTATTGATTTATTTTTGTATGGTTATGATTTCCTTACGTCACATGGTCAGGGGTGTTCATCAACCGATCCAAACCGATTCAAACCGCAAAAACCGAACCGAAAAACTGATAACCGAATAAACCGAAAACTGAAAAACCGAAAACCGACAAAAAAACGGCAAATGTTAATTGGATTGGATCGGTTTTTGGATGGATTGATGAAAACCGATCCAATCCAAACCGATCCAATATATTAATTTTCCTCTACTTACTTGGTCCTTTCCTCAATCATAGCCCAAAAATTTCTAAACCTAAGACCCATTAACTCATCAACTAATCCCAAGAAAAAAAGTCACATCTCATCAACAAAATTTAATCCTTGTAGAGCTTCATATCTCATTGCAAAAAAATAAAATAACTATAGTATCGTCTACTGATATTTTTGTATTTCAATTTTTTTTTTACAAAACCAATATATACAAAAGATGTTATTTGCACAATAATCATAAAACTAATTTTAGGATATTCAAAAAACCGAAAACCGATCCAATCCAAACCGAAAAAAATTGGATTGGATCGGATCGGATTTGAAAAAAAATTCAAACCGAATGGATGATTACATGATCAAACCGAAGGGATTGGATCAGATGAGTTTTGCTTCTAAAACCGATCCAATCCAGACCGCGAACACCTCTACACGTGGTGATACTAAATAATACATGACTATCTAAGAGAAACATGCTTGTATGGTCCGGTCATTATTATTATCATATGGTGTTTTATGATCAATTGCTGGAAACCCGATAGAAAATAAGGGTAATACTTCTCTCATTTAATATAAGAGAAGTTTTTTTTTTTACACTAACAAAAAATGTGGAGCCCACAAATTAAAAAAAAATAAAAAAGAAAAGAAATTGCATGCAGATCTTTTTATGCACATCTTTTTATGTATATGTGACATGAGATAGTTATCTCCTACATTGGAGAAAATATTTTCCCAAAAAGTAATTACATTAAGAATATATAATGGTCATTTGCATAGTTTTGAATGAAACATAAAAAATTTTAAGTGCAACGAATTAAAATTAAAATATTAGCTTATCTTCAAATGTGTAACTAGTTAAAAAATAACTTAAAATATAACTAATGTTTTACCTATTGGTTCAATCAATGAAATACTAGTTGAATTGCTTAAGTAAAAAATATATAAAAAAATGTAATAAATATAACAATATAAGTATTATATAAAATACATACATGCAATAGCGAATTTAGAATTTTTTTTAATGTCTGCACACTTAGAATAAAAGAATAAAGGAAAAAAATTTAAAGAAAATTTTAAATATAATAAAATACAAAAGAATATAAACAAAAAAGAAAAGAAAATTTTAACTTAATATAAAAAAAGTAATGAAGAGTCAATTAAACTGTTACAATAGAACATTTTGGGTCCTCAACAAATATTATGGGCCTCAATTTAATCTCTTAGGGGAAAAAATCTACTCGTGATCCCTCAGAATTCAAAAATAGACCCAGATAGTCAAAATCATGGTTTCTGAAATTCAAAAAGACCCACATTAATCCTTCAAAAGGACTAACATTGGTCTATTTTGGAATTTAAAGGGATCACGAGTTGATTTTTTGAAGAGATTAAATTGGGTCATGTAATTTTTGTTGATAACCCAATATATATATATATATATATATATATATATATATGGTAAAAAGTCATTTCCCGAGCTGCTTGCCATCCAGCAATTAATCTTGATCATTGATTCTCCACATTTAATGCTTTCACCTACTTTTGTTTGGTTACGATTCTGCAAAATTTAATTGTTGGACGTCAAACAGCTAGAGAAATAACGAATCCTATATATATATATATATATATATATATATATATATATATATATATATATATATAGAGGAGCAAGATCCTTTGACAAGAGGTTCAAACTTTAAAATTTGACGTCAAATTCTGACCGTTGATTTTCGCCAATCAACAGTTTGTAACTTAATCAAACTCATTAATTAATTATTAATTCGCAATAAATGATAACCGTTGATTGGCGTGAAAATCAACGGTTAGGATTTGGTGTCAAATTTCAAAGTTTGTTATCCCTTGATTTTCGTCAATCAAACTACTCTAATTAATTTGGTTATTATCATTAATTAGTTATTAATTTTCAGTCAATTACAACTGTCATATATACGAAAATCAACGATTAAAATTAAATGTAAGATTTATTATTTTTACATCGAAGTGTGAGAAGATCCTACTATATATATATGCTATCTTCTTCCGAGAGAACACTAGTTACACTATCTTCTCTCAAAAGAATATAATATAATTTGTAAAAATTTATAAACGTGTATATATATATATATATATATATATATATATATATATATATATATATATATATATATATAAAAGCGCTGATTGACGTCCAACAGTCAATATTTTACCATATTTATAGTGTTAATAGATAGATGTCACCAACTTTATTATCGAGAATATGGAACCCCACATTCATATAAATTAAAAAGGTTGGAAACCAATCAAAAATATTGAGTGGCAAGTGAGTTGCACTTTTAAGAGATAATTAATGTTCAAGCTCTGAAAAAAATAATTGTTTGGAAGACCTCTAAAATATTATTATAGTGTTTCAAGAGCTAATCTTACAATAAAAAAAGTTATTAATAGAAAAACCTTCTCATCGTAATAGTATATAAAAGATTAGTTTCACATAAATTAACAAGAAGTTACTGATAAAAAAAAGTTTAAAAAATATATACAATTTTAGAAAATGTTTTTCTTTGTTTTATTAATCTCCTCATGTATCTAATTTTTGTGGTTTATTCCCTGAATGATATATATATGGTAAAATTATTTCTGCAGCCGCTTTACGTACATCAACGATATGTGTATGGTTATGATTCTTCACATTTAATGCTTTCATCCTTTGTATAGTTATGATTCTCCGCATTTAATATTTTCAAGTATATATATGGCAAGTATTTGATTGTTGCACGTACAGCAGCTGCAGAAATGTAAATCCATATATATGTATATATATATATGTATGTATATATATATATATAGAGAGAGAAGAAAGTTATACTTACAACCTATTTTTATTTACAACATTTTACAACCATATCTTAACCGTTGATTTATATCAATCAACGGTTATTATATTCACAAATTAAACTCATTAATTAATTATTAATTCGCAATAAATGATAACCGTTGATTGATGAAAATCAACGGTTAAGATATGATTGTAAAATGTTGTAAACAAAAATAGGTTATAAGTATAACTTTTCTCATATATATATATATATATATATATATATATATATATATATATATATTATAAGAGTTATGTTGTAAGAAAAATAATTGTGTAATGTTATAGAAATTCGTTTTGCATGCCGTAGTTTTTTTTTCTTCAAAAAATATGGGCCTCACAAAATGTTGTGTGTGTAGGAAACTTTGTTGTGTCATGTTAAATGATAAATATAAACCCCGTGTGTCCATAGTAGTAAAACTGCTTAATTTTTGCCGGCATCACTAACAAGACAGCGAGAAAGAACCAACAAAGAGCAAACATTGATGTATTGCTTCGAGAGGGAGATGCTGAATGAGTCCCACACGTTCTTAGTGGACTTTATAATATTGCATAGTATGTCAACTCTCTACGGAATGGAATGTTAGTTATTAATATTATTCCCAAAACTCATGTACTATTTTTTTCCTACTAAGGGAAAACTCTTGTTCGATGTCGCCAGCGTGAATATTACAGGATCAAAACCCTACGAAACAATGTTTGTCAAAACAAAACAAGAAAAAAAGAACTACAATCATGTACTGAGAAGAGAAAGTGTCGTCTTTGAGTTTTTGCATAGGGTTATTTGGCATTTGCAATGTCTATGCGCTAGACCTGTCATCTCAACAAACATAGCTGTGGGTTCATTTCACACCATGTAAATCAAAATAAATAGCAACTTGCTCGAAAAGTATATATCTTGTAAGCAACACCTTAATTTATCTTAACGTGTAGTTTTCACAGCATTAAATTATGTCGATTAAAGAAAGAATACAAAATAGAAATTAACCTTGCACGACAAATTATTATCTAAGCAAATAAAACTAGCAACTCTTTGTCACACTTTAATATTTTAAATTTAATAAATTATTACAAAGCACTATATATTAAAATCTACTTAAACTATTAAATTATTATAAAGCACTAAATTTTTACGGTAAAAAATCTACTTAAACTGATTTAAAAAAACGCAACAAAAAAAGTTCTAATTCTAATAAAATGAAAATAGAACACAAGAATACTTGAGTTAATTTTGTCGGCTATATTCATTTACGGTCTTATCATATATATGATATAGAAGACATTCATATGAATTATCAAATTAAAATACTAAATCAATCAAAACATAGAGTTTAACATTAAAAGTAAATATATCACTCTCAATATATATAAAAATCAATCTTGGGTATGGAAGCTAAGGGATGCAATGTTTCTGGACTCCTTTATAGACTAATCTAACTTTAATTTGTTTGAGATATTTTATCCCTTCTTCTTTATCCTCCTTTTGTTGCATATGACCCTTTTCAACTTTCACTTAGCATGGTTACTTAGCTTATATTTTTCAAAGAGAAAATTAACGGGAGTTTATTTCTAAATTAAATGAATAAATAAATATAATATTAAATTTTAATGAAATAAAATAATTATATACTTTAAATTAAATCACGACTAAATACATTATAACTTAAGCATGTTTACTGACAAATTTGATTTGATTTTAGAGGAAAAATATCTAAACTAATCAAAATCAATTGTCTTTGTTATGTAAATTTATTTGTTCATTCCCAAACAAAACCAAAACAATCAACAGCCAGTTGGTTTAATTTAAGTTATCTGATTCGACTTGTTTCCTTTCTTTTTTTTTTTATAAATTATTCTAACAAAATAACATTCCCAATTCCAAACTAGAGACTAAAACAGGCATATAGTTTTGGCAAAATCAAACAAAATTTCGAAAATCACAAGTACTTTCAACATGATGTATAGGTAAAATCCTAATTATGTCTTTTTTGAATTCTTGATTTGATAAGTACACTTCCAAAAAAATTCATTCAAAACTCTTCGAGGACAGAGCATTTGAACCCACGCCTACAACCTCTAAAGCACGGACACGTTTTTTTTGTGAAAAAATGCGTGTCCGACACGTGTCGGACACGGACACGTTCGGACACGCGTCCGACACGTGGTCAACTTTTTGGGACACGTTGACTTGAGGGACACGCGTGTTTGACCGAATCCGACACGTAGTCAACGAATTTGGACTCGTTTTGGACACGTTTTGCATTTTTTTTAACAATTAAAAAAAATAAAAAACATTTAATAAAATTAAAAAAAGAACCCTATCCTCTGAATCTCTTATCCTCTCTCGCGCTGGAGAGTTGAGGCTGCAAATCGCCGCTTGGTCCTTCTCGTCGGTCGTCGTCGGTCATCGGTTGTCTTCTCCGGTCGTCGGTTGTTGGTTGTCTTCTACATCTCCGGTAAGTCTCCGGTAAGTCTTCTGCAATCCAAACACAAGATTTATCCGAAGTAGTTCAAGTTTTGTCAGAACTAGAATCGACATTAAAATTCTAAAACTTCGATTGTGAATTTGTTGTCCATGTAGAGCCTAATGTTTTCTAATAAGCATGGGACTTTTTTTATTTGGGTCAGTGTCTGGGGTCAACTGACACCATTGGACTCTATCAAAAATCGAAAGTTCAGTAACACCATTTAGAGTAAGGTCTATTTTAATGGTTTCTCCTTAAAGTTTTCTGAGGTCTTCTGCTCCTTTTTGTTGTACCATCATCAATTTTGATCAAAATTTCTCATACGAGTCTTTGTTGGTCTTCTTACAAGTCATGACCAATCCACCTTAAGCAAGCTTCCATCATTTGCTCATCAATAGGCTTTGGTGTGTTACTCTACTTTCTGCTCTTGTTCACACTTCACTGATCAACATTGTTGACTATCATAAAGCATTTCTGGTTTGATTGTGCCATAGTTTGATGAGCACTTTGCATTCATAAATTGTAACTAAAGCATTTCTCCATTTCATCAACCCAGCTTGAATATGCATGAAATGACATCCCCGTTACTTTATGTGGTGGTTCCAAGATACGCAATATGTGCAACTAATTGTATGCTGTGCTTCCCAATTGACACTTCCAAAACATTCTCACATCTTATTGAACTTGCATTTCATATATTCCTTATTATTCCTACTCAACCGAAATCTCTTTGATTCCAAAGCTTCTTTCCACAAAAAACATGCATTGACTCTTAGATGTGCCCTCTGCCCAAGTAGTACGTCCAACCAAGTTGACCCCTGGTTCAAACCTATCATATTGTTATAGGAAATTTTTTTGTTACATCTGCATGAGTTTCAATACTGGCTGTTGTCCTATCACAAATATCCTTTATAGCAATAATATATGTGACATGAACTCCTTGATTCTCTAGTTCCTATTACATGATTTCGCATGGCATCTTATCGTAGGTTTTTCCTAGATCAATGAAGATCATGTGTAGATTTATTTTATTTTCCTGTTTCTTTCTATATCTTTCTATCAAACCCTGCACTAGGTATATAGCCTCCATGATTGACCACTACAGCATAATAGTAATTGAGTGTCCTCTTGTTGTAATATACTCTCATTACTTTTTTTTCAGAGTGTCATCATTTGGCTTATTCTGTAGTTTGCACAATTTTGCATGTTTTTTTCATTCTTGTAAATAATTGTCTAAGTGCTTATTCTCCACTCATCAGGCATTTTTGAGACCTTCTATCTCAATGAAAAACGTTGTGATCTGAGTTTATACCTTTCTCCCCTAAACATTTCCAAACTTTCATAGGCATGTCCTGTCCTACTACCTCTAAAGCACGGACATGTCTTTTTTGTGTTTCTTTAGTTTAACTTTGTTTCAGCAGTTATTGAGTCAGAGAGGAGCAAAACAAGTGCAGGCATATTAATAGCTTATATTCTAGCAGCTGTTGATCCTTTTTATTTCATTCTTTTTTCTTTCAACCATGTTAATCCAACTCCCTCAGACCTACGAACTACTTTAGTTTTACTCAATCTATTCTAGCAGCTTGCATCAAGTAATTTAGTTCTCTGTTTTATATACTAAATCAATCTCACTAATTTCATTTTTTTTAACACATTTATAGAATTACAAGATGGATCATTCGAGTTCTGCCTCTGCCAGTGCAAGTAATAGTGCCACTGCTGCTACCAGTGCTTCTGATGTTAATGAATTACTAGATAAACCCTTATGGAAATATGTTACCAAAATAGATGCTATAGTGGGAGGAGGAGGAAATTTATCTTGGATGTGCAACTTTTGTAAAAAAGATTTTAAAAGTTCATATACTAGAGTGAGGGCTCATTTGTTGAAACTATCAGGCAAAGGAATTGGGAAATGCTTAATGGTGCAAAATAGAGATGTGATAGAGATGGAGAAATTAGAAAAAGAAGCTGACCAGAGAAAGCAATCCAATGCACCCAGAAATGTACCTTTACCTCCTTCTAGCTCTTCCACGTGCCCAAAAAAAAGAAAAATTGCAGGTTCTCTTGAGATGGCATTTAATGTTGGGGAGCGAGAAGAATTAAATTACCTGATTGCTAGAATGTTTTATTCAGCAGGATTGCCATTCAATTTGGCAAAGAACCCTTACTTCCAAGCTTCGTATACTTATGCAGCAAATCATAATATTGGAGGTTATTTGCCACCGGGATATAACTCACTGCGAACCACTCTGTTGCAAAAGGAGAAAGAAAATATTGATAAGTTGTGTGAACCTATTCGAGAGGCTTGGACTCATAAAGGGGTGAGTATTGTAAGTGATGGGTGAAGTGATTCACAAAGGAGGCCACTCATTAATTTCATGGCAGTATCTGATGGTAAAGCAATGTTTTTAAAATCAGTTGATTGCTCGGGGGAGATTAAGGATAAGAATTTCATTTTCAGGTTGTTTGTTTGAACTTTTGTATTCTTTTTAAGTGTTTATTTGCTCAAGGGAGACTAATGATAAAAATTGCATTTTCAGGTTGCTAAAAGAAGTTATTCAAGAAGTAGGAGAGGCGAATGTGGTTCAAGTAATCACAGATAATGCTGCAAATTGTAAGGGAGCAGGGCAATTGATTGAGCAGGAATTCCCATCTATTACCTGGACACCGTGTGTTGTTCACACATTGAATTTGGCTGTGAAAAATATTTGTGCTGCAAAGAATGTTGAGAGCAATCAAATAACTTATGAGGAATGCAGCTGGATTTCTGATATTGTAGGTGATGTTGCTGCAATAAAGCATTTCATTATGAATCATTCTATGAGATTGGCCATCTTTAATGAGTTTGTGAGTTTGAAGTTGCTTTCTATTGCTGATACTCGTTTTGCTTCAATGATTGTGATGCTGAAGAGGTTCAAGTTAATAAAGAGTGGTCTCCAAAATATGGTGATAAGTGAAAAATGGAATATTTATAGAGATGATAATCTTGGGAGAGCCAGACATGTGAAGGAAAAATTATTGGATGATTGTTTTTGGGATTCAGTTGATTACATACTTGCCTTCACTGCTCCTATTTATGATATGATCAGAGCTTGTGACACTGATAGAGCTTGTCTTCACTTGATATATGATATGTGGGATGCAATGATTGTGAAAGTGAAGAAAGCTATATACCATAAAGAGGGGAGAAGGATGGAAGAGAGCTCCTCTTTTTATGATGTGGTGCATCGCATTCTTGTGGATCGTTGGACGAAAAACTCAACTCCACTACACTGTTTGGCACATGCTTTGAATCCCAAGTAAGTTTTTAAATATAATTTAGTTTAAAATTAATACTCCTCTTGATATAATTTGACAACTTGTTGATTTTTTTTGCTTCTCTTTTAGATACTATAGTCAACAATGGCTTCAGGAAGATTCTAGTCGAGTTCCTCCACACATGGATTTAGAGCTTACTCAAGAGCGACAAAAATGTTTAAGGAGATTCTTTCCTAGCATGGAGGACCGAAGCCGGATTAGTTTGGAGTATGCAGATTTTATTAGCAACAGTGGAACCTTTGGCGATTTTGATGCCATCAATACTCAATACACTATGGATCCGAAATCTTGGTGGCTACTTTATGGTACCTTTACACCGATGCTTCAAAAAATAGCATTGAGACTTGTGCAACAACCCTCTTCTTCATCATGTGCTGAACGCAATTGGAGTACTTATTCTTTTGTGCATTCCATCAAGAGGAATAAAATCACTCCAAAACGTGCTGAAGACTTGGTTTATGTGCATAGCAATCTTCGACTCTTATCAAGAAAGACTCCTAGTTATGCACAAGGAGCAAATCAAATGTGGGATATTGCTGGAGATACATTTGATTCACTTGATGATATTGGAGATCTTCAATTTGCTAGTCTTTCACTTGATGAGCCAGAGATAGAGGCCATGATTATTCAAGATGGAGATGAAAATAATTGAACTGTGTGTAATCATAAGTAAAATAATTTTTCTATTTTCTACACTCTACACTCTTGGGATGTTCTATTTTTTTTAATATTTATGTTATGAAATTTAAATATTTGATTGGTTATATGACTTATTATGGACTCTTATATGTATTAAATATAAATTATATTATATATATTAAATATTTTATTTAATATTAAAACGTGTCCCAACGTGTCAAAATTTAGCATTTTTTAGAATTAACGTGTCGGCGTGTCGTGTCGTGTCGTATCCCGTGTCCGTGTCCGTGCATCGTTGCCTACAACTAACAAAGGGGGAGACTAGGGTGTGAATGGATTAGGTTAGTTTACAGGGTCTTGTGGCCTAATCTATACTAAACCAAATTTGATCTAATATAAATAGTCAAATAGAACATACTTAGACTTTAAAAAATCTATTTAGAAAGCAAATCATAGACTTTTTTTTTACATGTCGGGCCTATAAACTTGCAGGCCAGCCTATATCATTTTTTTAAAATAAAATAAATAAAATTATTATTTTAATAATTTTGAGTAATAAAATAATATTATTTTAGTTATTTTTTTAATTATTAAATGTTTAATAGGCTTAAACAGGCTAACAAACCTAGGTTAAAGCTTTTATTTTTTAAATATAGGTCAGACCACACTTGTAATTTGAGCCTACACCGGCCAGACTATGTCTAAGATTTTTTTTTCACATGCCTAATCTATTTATGTCAAAGTATAACTTAACCTAACCTATTTACACCCCTAGCTGAGACTAGGGGTGTTTGCGATCTGGATTAGATCAGTTTTGGAAATAAAAATCATGTGATCCAATCCCTTCAGTTTGATCATGTAATCATCCATTCGGTTTTGATTTTTTTCAAATCCGATCCAATCCGATCCAATTTTATTCGGTCTGGATTGAATCTGTTTTCGATTTTTTGAAAAGTCTAAGATTTGTATGATGCTTATTATGCAAATAACATATCTTTTGTATGTATCGGCTTTGTAAAGGTTGTATGATGATTATTGTGCAATCTAGAAGCATCGTACATCAAAAAGTTGAATTACCATCTTTTACCTCCAACAAAAAATTTACAATGTGATTGCCTGAGATACGGAGTAACCTAAATTTTCATCATATAATCTCCCTAGGGTCACATTATATGGAGAGGAGAAGTCAGCAACAATGAATCTCACCGGTTCTAATTTGAATGCTTCTTTCGTCTATGTAGCCTTTAGGGGGTGTATTTTTCTCATTAAAGGCTATCAGGGTAGTCTTACAAGGCTTGAGATCTTCTTCATCCAGATTCAATGTTTTAAAAGCATCCCAGAGGATGATATCTGCACAGCTGTCGACATTGATGAAGATCTTTTTTAACCTAGCAATTCACCAAGGTTCCTGTAATAACAAGGCCATCTTCGTGTCCCGGTAGCACACCTTGCATGTCTTCTTTAGTGAAATAAAGTAGAGCAGGATCTGGTTTGCTGGGATCTTCCTTGAACTTTGGTCGATCTCTGTCTGAAAGCACTTCTATGAGATATTTTCTTCTTGCACTTACAGTATCTCCACTTCCGCCAAGAGCTCCGCTAATCACATTTCAGTCTAACTCGACTTATGAAAATTCATCATTATTGGAATCATCTTTCTTTATATTTTCAGGACCCAGGCTCTTACTTCTTCTTTGACCTCTGGATTTTCTCTTATTACTTTTGCATCCCTGCGTTTTGATAACATACTAACGCAGCTTTCCATCTCTGACAAATTTCTCCACGACATCCCTGAGGTCACAGCATTGATCAGTAGTATGCCCAGGTCCATTGTGGAAAGCACAAAACCTGGACCGATCCAAACCTCCTCTGTCAAATATAGGCTAGGGTATTTCTATTTTCTTCATTTCGGTCATTGCCACTTCTCTCCAGATCTGAGATCGTGGCACTTTTAATGGATTATATTTTTCATACCTCCCTACCTGGAATCTGTCATCCAGGTTTCTTCCACGAGAATCTTTCTTCTTGTTGTCGGGTCGTTCTTTTTCCCTTAAAACTGGACTTTTTCTCTTTGGGCTCGTCTTCCTGTTTTCTTCACCCAACACATTTTCTATTTCCATTTGCTCAAGCTCCAAATACTTCTTTGACCAGGTTCTGAATTCCTCTAACATTCTCACAGGATCCTTGTAGATTGACTTTTCCAACTGAGATGCTCCATCTAACCCGACTACAATCAAATGTACATGGACATTTTCCTGCAAACCCAGGACTTGCAGAGCGGCATCTTTAAATCGGTTTAAATATTTCTGGAGTGTCTCCCCAAATTGTTGTCAAATTTTTTCGAGCGCAAACTCGGACTTCGAATGCTTCTTGCTTGTTGCAAAGTTCAACAAAAACTGTTCCCCAAATTCTTCAAATGACCTAATCGAATTAGCAGGCAGGGTTGAAAACCATGTCTGCGCAGCTCTAGTCAAGGTTGTAGCAAATATCCGGGATATGATAGGCTCATCTATCCTTCGGATGTACATATCTGTGTCGAAGGCATCTATATGAACTTGAGGGTCTTGACTTCCATCATACTTCAGCAAGTGTGCCGAGTCAAACCTTTATGGGAATGGAGCATTGAGTATCTCTCTAGTAAATGGGCTATTATTATACTGCCTCCTGTTGTACTTCCTTCTATAAACACCAGTCTCAGCACGTTATCAAACGTTATGTGGAGGCTGGGCATCCCGGTTGTGATGCACATCACCTCGGTTACTTTCTGCATTCCTCCCTGCCCTTGTATTCTGGGTATGAGACATCATATTCGCATTATGATTGTTGTCTTCAACATTATTATTGATTTGGACGTAGCGGTCTGGGTTTATAGCCACTCCCGTGTTTGGTGCTCCTTGGACCTCAGCATCTCCAACCCAGATTTGTGTATCCGGTTTATGATCCATGTTCTGATTATTGTCACCACAGAGCTGAAGGTTTTCTCTTATAATTTCCCTTTCATCGCTGCCTAATCCCCTCGCTTGCATTAAGCGCTGCTCTTTCTCTTGCATTCTTCTCATATTTCTTCTTGAATTCTTCTGAAATCCTCTTGTCGTTGGAGGTTGTTACGATTCTCCATATCCTCCATCCGCCTTATGATCGCAGAAAATGCGTTCTGGGAAAGACGAGAATCTGGATCTGTTGCAAGTGCAACGCGGGCAGCCGCATCTGCAGGATTCAGGGGAGGAGGATGCACAACTCGATTTCGAGGAGCTGGTGTTGAGGCAGTGTTCGAGACGTCATCTGTAACAGCCCCAAACCCTGTAGCATGATATTGTCCGCTTTGCCCTCGGGCTCACGGTTTTGTTTCTTGGGACACCCCACAAAAGGCCTCACACTAGAAGAGGTATCTACACCCTTATAAGGCATGTTTCGTTCCCCTCTCCAACCGATGTGGGACATTACATCCTCCCCCACTGGGAATACAGCGTCCCCGCTGTACACACCGGTCCAGGGCCAGGCTCTGATACCAAATGTAACAGCCCCAAACCCTGTAGCATGATATTGTCCGCTTTGCCCTCGGGCTCACGGTTTTGTTTCTTGGGACACCCCACAAAAGGCCTCACACTAGAAGAGGTATCCACACCCTTATAAGGCATGTTTCGTTCCCCTCTCCAACCGATGTGGGACATTACATCACTCATATGGACTGCATCATAATCAACCTCATTTTCTGGTTAATTTTGAGGCTGATTTACTTCTTCCAATACAGGATCCAATGAAAGGTTTGGATGTTGTGGCTGTTGGCTACTACTTCTTATATGAACTGCCATTGTTGATTGTGATTGTGGGAATAATGAATTTACCGTTTCCTTATAGACGGCGCCAGTGTTTTGTCTTAGAGACAAAGATGTCTAGCCCAATAGAGCTACTATGTTACTTTTGGATCTAGGTGCCCTCTCTAAGATATCTATGGATTAAATACCCTTGAGTCAAGCAGATAATTGTGCACAGAAGAACAATAAATGGCTTTGTCAAAGGGGTGTGTGTGTGTGTGCATAGTAACAACATAACAGTAAGAGAGAGCGTGTGAGTATCTGTAGGTTTTACCTCTTATTTATAGAGTCTACCTGTGGGTATTGCGTGCTGGACTTTCAGTGCTTCAGCTAACGGTCCAAGCCCGTGTATTATGCTGTCATATTAGGATTGATATCCTTGATGAATATCTTTTCTTAATTATGTCTGATTTATACTTGGATTGCCCCTTATTGGGCTTAACAATAATGTGCCTCAAATATGGGTTCATAACAGTTGGGTTTGTGAATCTTGCCATGAGTTTTTCATGTTGGATAAATAAACTCATAGTTATGAAAAAGAAGATATATATATATATATATGTGTGTGTGTGTGTGTGTGTGTGTGCGTGTGTGTGTGTGTGTGGCAAAATGATTTGTAATGTGACTGCATATAAGTATTGGTGCAGTCACCTAAAAACTACGTCGTTTTGGGTTGGATAAAGAAAGTTTGCGTTCAAAATTAATTGTAGAAAATAAAAATATTATATTTATTTCCACCTTTGTATGATTATGATTCTCCATATTTAATGCTTTATATTTATTTCCACCTTTGTATGATTATTATTCTCCATATTTAATGCTTTCACATTATAAAACGACGTAGTTTTATATGACTGCACCAATCCTTAGGTGCAGTCACTCTACATCCGCTAAACCCTATATATATATATATATATATATATATATATATGAGGGAGGATATTCTTACTACTAAAATTTTTTATTACTAACTTACTACCTATCTAATCACCATTGAATCAAAGAGAGAGAATGTTAAAAAGTTTTTGAAAAAAGAGAAAATATTGATCTAATGGTGATTAGATAGGTAGTAAGTTGGTAGTAGAAAATTTTGGTAGTAAAAATATCTCTCCTCTATATATATATATTATTCGAGCTCAGTCAGACTTATATGTAAGAAACAACCTTTCTATATATATTGTGGTTGTCGCGATGATATTAA